GATTTGCACTGTGTGCCTTACGCAAATGGGTCTCCTGCAAAAAAGTAATATTAGCATCAAGTTGTCTTAAGTGTGTCACTGGACCATTGAGGGATTTCACATTCCAACTCACACAGTTAACTGGGTGACTGTTGATGAACCTGGTAATATTAGAACTGCTCATGTATGGTCAATCAGACTGTAGTACAATATCCACAAACTGTCACAAAAAATAACCTGAAAAAGACATTCTTAAAACAAATAGATCCGGTATAGTCCCACCCCTTTCTCCTAAAAAAACACGGAGAACCCAACAAACAAAAATCCACACATTTGTGCTTATACTGGGGGGCTAAACTTCCTGTCTGGACTCCCGCCATAACTAATAACAATAACAAAAATAAAAAATAAAAAAGGGGTTCCCTTACTTTAAAGTATTATTACTGTTTATGCTCCTTGCTGTACTGATAAATAAATCACTAACTAAGATCTGGACAGACCCCCTGTGAAACTCTCGTTCATAGAACAAAAAGAGGAATGTTGTCCCTGAGAATAAAGTCTAAAATTAAATCAAAATATAACGCGGGACAAAAAGTCAGAAGGTTCATTACAACCTGACAGTCATAATGGATCGATGAGGGTTGGACCTGCGGTCAACGCCGGTCCTCGTTGTCCGTCGCCGAGATGATCCTCGTCTTAACGTAGTCCATTTCTTTATTGGCATCCAGGAATTCTTTGTTTTCCTCCCCATGAGAGATGCGGAGCCGTGCAGGAAAAAGCAGGCCATAGCGAACATCACGTTGGTTGCGAAGAAGTCTCCTCACCTCCGTAAACGCCGCTCAAGCCTTGGCCACAGCCGCAGTGTAGTCAGATGTGATGATGATCGGTGAATCTTTAAAACGAAGAGGACCACGACTCCGAGCCCGACGCAGTATTTCCACACATTCTTGATAATAGTGCAGCTTAGCAACAATGACCCTCGGCTTACCGCCTGACCTGTTTCCACCTGGAGAGCGATGGGCTCGGTCCACCAGTGGCTCTTTATCCATCTGTAGAACCTCTGYTAGCAGTTTAGCCACTGCTGAAGTGGAGCTGGATTCTGGCGTCTCAGGAACTCCAATAATCCTCACATTGCACCTTCTCATGCGCCCTTCCATATCGTCACACTTCTTTTTGTGCCCATCGACTTCTTCTTTCAGTTCCATCACGGTGGAGCGCAGAGAAACAACCTCATCGGACCAGTTTGACAAGCCGTCCTCCACTTCTTTAACGCTCTGTTTCACGTGATCCAGGTCTGCGCGCAGTAGCATTGTGCCATTAGCCAACTCCGCTCTCACTGCTTGTAGCTCTCCTTTAATAAGAGTAAACTCTTCAGCCAAAGCCGCTTTTATTTAGGATTTGATCACAGCTGAGAGATTGGTTTTTATAGCGGCAAGAATGTCCGACTTCAAGGAGAGTGCGTCTGCCTCACTGCGGGAGGGAGAGGAGGGCGCCGATGATCCGTCTTTAGCTTTAGCTGCAGTTAGCTCCGAGGCGGCGTCGGACCTAACAGCCGTCGAGCTAGAATGCTTGCCTTTTCTCGAGTTTGTCGCCATTCTTCTACTCTTCCAGGCAGGAATCACTCAGGGGTCAAGTGCAGACAGACCAAATGCTCAAAACAGCAAGGACATTCGATAGAGAACCACAAACAGAACAGTCAGAGCGGGAGCCCACGCGACACACGTCTTACTCCTCCGCCCTGGCGGCGGTAACAAGTTAATTGTAATGTAGCCTGATGCTCATAGACACTGGGTATGTACCCTGTAAGTACTATGACAACCCCATGTACCCCATATAAAACAGATACCTGATATGTACCTGTTACATATTAGATAGGTAATTTGAAAAGTGCATACAAAGATATGCTCTGGGTACGCACTAGAGCTGGTCGGTTCCTGAGTTCCTCGAGTTAATGATTCGAGTCCTAGCACTGAGTCAGGTGCCACAAATCCGAAGTGTATATTAACATGAATCCCAAATATCCTAAGGCAGACAACACAATACTGTCCACAAACTAGCAAACACACTGAGAAAAGAAAAACAACACAGTCACTGGAATGCTTAAGACTCATACATGTTGGTTCACTAACTGATGGCTGCTGTTGGGTCCTAGTTGATCAGTTCATCTCCCCAGAAACAGTTTGGACTTGTATCAAGCCAGGTTCGAGTGGTTCAGTTCATCTCCCCAGAAACAGTTGTGCTTGAGATGAATTGGGTCCAAGCTGCAGTGGTTAGCTCCAGGAAACACGCCGCTGCTCCGGTTTACTCACCAGATAGAGCTGATTTGTAAAAATTCCATCCATAAAAAATCAGCAGACTCAGTCTGAGGATGTACTGAATTAAATATTGCTCTAAATAAGTTGAAAATATCACTATTCATGTGGCAGATATGATTTCTGCACAGTGATCACGACTCTCATCACTCCCTTCAAGAGCAATTTTGACTCGTGTCTGACCACAAGCATCCAACTTAAAGCATTGGACGCGATTTTGACTCTGAAATCGCGTTCGGTATGAATGCACCATTGGTCTCAGGAGATAGTGCAGCCACCTTATCCCAGGGTGGTCGCTGCTGTTCYTCCACCCACAACATGACTGCCCATAAGTCAGGATCTTGCCTTTGCTCCCTGGACCAATCCACAGTTTCCATCACTCTCAGCTCTCGGCACTCAGGACTGGTTGTCTCACCCTCCTCTATGTCCCAGTGCCTTACTTAAAGCCTGCTCCTGGGATTCCCTTCGGTCACAATAGCGGCAGCCTTCTTCACTGCATGGACATTGGGACAGAGCATCTGCATTACCATGAAGATCACCTGCCCTGTGGATGATCGTGAACGCATAGTTCTGCAGCTCCTCCAGCCACCGAGCCAGTTGTCCCTCTGGTTCTTTAAAYGTTGTCAACCACTGCAGTGATGCTTGATCAGTCCGTATGTTGAAGGAGCACCCACATAGGTAGTATTTGAAATGGCAGTTAGCCAAAACAACGGCCAACAGCTCTCTACGGGTCACACAATACTGTTGCTCTGCTTTACTCAAAACTTTACTGTAGTAGGCCATCACTCTTTCTCCCTCAGGTCCCACCTGAGACAGGACCGCCCCTAGACCCACCCCACTTGCATCTGTGTCCAGTAAAAAGGGTAGCTGGGGGTCAGATGATGCCAAGATGGGTGCACTTGTGAGGGCCTGCTTCAGGCTAGCAAAAGCTCCTTCACAGTCCTGTGACCAGATGAACGGCTGGCCCTTCTGTAGCAGATGGAACAGGGGGGATGCAATACATGAAAACCCCCTCACAAACCTCCTATAGTACGAGGCCAGCCCCAAAAACCTCTTCAGCTGTCTCTGATCTGAAGGTGTAGGCCAGCTATTGATAACCCGCACTTTCTCTTCAGCAGTCCCAACCCTTTTGCTGCCTATGTTGTGGCCTATAAAAGTCAGCTCTCTGATCAGGAATCTGCACTTATCTGGATGCATCTTTAACCCTGCCTCTCATGTTTTCCAGCACCCTGCGAAGTGCTCTTACTGCGGTATCAAAAGAGTCCCCATGAGCCAAAATGTCATCMAAGAACACCAGACATTCTGTACGTGGAACACCAGACAACACCCGCTCCATCAGATGTTCAAATGTGGCAGGTGCATTGCACWGGCCAAAACAAAGCACCTTAAATTGACACAGTCCTTTGCCTGTGCAAACAGCAGTCTTAGCTCATGCGTCTGGGGCCAGGGGAACCTGCCAGTAGYCACTTCTTAAATCCAGAGAGGAAAACGAGGAGGATCTGGCCACCATGTCCAGGCACTCTTCCACACGCGGAAGTGGGTATGAATCTTTCTTTGTGACCTGATTCAGCTGCCTGTAGTCGACACAAAAGTGCCACTCTCCCCCTTTCTTAGGCACCATAACCACAGGCTATGCCCAGGGCTCTGAGAAGGCTCTATAATGCCCATCCTCTGCATTTTCTCCAGCTCCTGATCTGCTGCCTCCTGTCGACCCAGAGGAAGGCGTCTCGGACGTTGACTTATGGGTTCCACTTCCCCGGTGTCAATGGAATGCTGCACCAGAGACGTACACCCCACCTCATTTCCATCACATGAGAAACAGTCCTGAAACTCWCTTAAGAGACCCCACAGCACCCCCTTCTGTTTGTCATCCAGATCCCCTGCACTCCTCTCCAGGATACTCTGCAGCGCCTCCATTGTCTTTCTCTGGCAGTCAAGTGTACAGGCTGTGTCTGCACCGCTGGTCCCATTATCCAGAAAACAGGTGGGTTAATTAACCACCTGTGCCACCTCAGTCTGAGACACCCCCCCCCCCCCCCCTCGGTAGAATCTGAGGGAGGAACCTCCCCCGCATAGCAGCTTTGGGGCACCACGGACAGTTCTGTCTCACTCCAAACATCCCGGGGCCTCATATTGACAGTGTGTCCATCCCCAAAACTTAGTGTGGACCTCTTTAAGTCCAAGTGACAGTCATGTGCCCTCAGAAAATCCAATCTTACAATATACATTTATCCTGAACATCAGTCACCCAGACAGAATGTGTGAGCTCCTGACCCCCAGCTGTGAGTAACAGGTTACCCCTCCCTTGCATTGGTGCTAACTCCCCAGTCACAGTGCAAAGCTGAACAGCTGTTACCTCCATCTGGGCTCCAGGTGGTACCACCTCCAGTCGAACCACTGTCACTGTTGACCCTGTGTCGACCAAAGCTGTACATGGAACCCCCTCAACACATATAGGAATATGGCAGAAGTCCGAAACGGAAGTTCTTCCCACCACAACCCCAGACTTGGATATCCAGTTGTCTGAATCTGATGTGGTGGTCCTCATATAGGGCGTGTAGGACACCAATATGGGGGTGCGCAGTTTCTCGCCTACTGCACCCCTAGTCCGTTCCCCAGTGATCTGGTTTGGTTGGGGCAGTTCTTCAACAAATGCGCAGAGCTCCCACAGCCCCAGCAGGGACATGATCACAGACGTGGTGGCATCCACCGATGCTGTTCGGGAAGTAATTTCAGCCCACTTATGAGCTCAGTGACTTCTTCCACCCGTACAAGTTTCTCTGCTGCCAACTCATTTTCAGTCACAGACCTGGTCCTTGGCATCAACTCCTCTGAGTGTCCCTTCACAGAAGCCATCACCATCTCTTTCTCCAATTCATATTCCAGAGCCTCCTGAAGGATGCGTTGGCGCGCGAGTTGCGTGTGCGCGCGTAGGTCGGGAGGGGACAATGCCCACACAAACTGATCCCGTGCAAGTTCCGTCAGCACATCAGGCAGCATGTGAGCATAATCTCTCCTTGTCAGGCTCTCTATGTCATTCGCCAATGTCCATAGAGATTCCTCTCCCCGTCTCTTTCGTCCACTCAGTTCCGATCGTAAGATCGCTGGTCGGAAATATTGGTCGAACCACCACTGCAGCGCACTCGTTAGCACGTCATAGTCGCCCCTCTTGGTAGGATCCAGCAACAGCAGACAGGATATATATATATA